GAGCTATCAAATCCCCCCTCATTCTTCTCTTCTGCAGACTAAACAATCCCAGTTCCCTCAGCCTCTCCTCATTGGTCATGTGCTCCAGCCCCCTACTCATTTTTGTTGCCCTCCGTTGGACTCTTTCCAATTTTTCCACATCCTTCTTGTAGTGTGGGGCTCAAAACTGGACACAGTACTCCAGATGAGGCCTGACCAATGCCGAATAGAGGGGAATGATCGTGTCCCTCGATCTGCTGGCAATGCTCTTACTTATAAAGCCCAAAATGCCGTTAGCCTTCTTGGCAACAAGGGTACACTGTTGACTCATATCCAGCTTCTTGTCCATTGTAACTAGGTCCTTTTCTGCAGAACTACCTAGCCACTCTGTCCCTAGTCTGTAGCAGTGCATGGGATTCTTCCATCCTAAGTGCAGGACTCTGCACTTGAACCTCATCAGGTTTCTTTTGGCCCAATCCTCTAATTTGTCTAGATCCCTCTGTATCCTACCCCTACCCTCCAGCGTATCTACCACTCCTCCCAGTTTAGTGTCATCAGCAAACTTGCTGAGGGTGCAATCCACGCCATCCTCCAGATCATTAATGAAGATATTGAACAAAATAAGCCCCAGGACTGACCCTTGGTGCACTCCGCTTGATACCGGCTGCCAACTAGAGATGGAGCCATTGATCACTACCCGTTGAGCCTGATGATCTAGACAGCTTTCTATCCACCTTATTGTCCATTCATCCAGCCCATACTTCTTTAACTTACCGGCAAGAATACTGTGGGAGACCATATCAAAAGCTTTGCTAAAATCAAGGAATAACACGTCCACTGCTTCCCCCTCATCCACAGAGCCAGTTATTTCATCATAGAAGGCAATTAAGCTAGTCAGGCATGACTTGCCCTTGGTGAATCCATTCAGGGAGGTTTGTTTGCTTTATTTTCATAAATTATTTTGTTCACTTCTGGCTCCATGTGATAAGTGGGACATCCAGCAGGACTGGTAGGAGACTGTTTCCTGGCCTTAGTTACATGTCATGGATCAGGGCTACAAAAGTTTCATAGAGCTGGTTGGAAAAAACAGTGAACATTTTTTGAAAAAGACGTGTGATTTTTGTTTTCTTTTACTGTTTCTTTCAAAATTGTGATAGTTTTTTTTCACTCAGCTCTATTGATGGTGGAAAATCCTGAAAAAAATTCTATAAAATCTTTCACTGAACTTTTTCCATAAAAAAACCCCCAACTGAATTTGCACCAAAACCTTTAATTAAACTTGAAATGCAGACATCAGCCTCTCAATAAAGGGACAGTTATGTGCTGACTCCAGCGGCTACTCTTACAAGTGCATTGCTTTGGCTCCCTCTAGTGGACAGAACATAACCATGAAGAAACTTCTCTTGAGAGCAAAGAAACAGACCAGACCCCCAGATTCCAAACACTTCAGTCACTGGGGGCTGACGACCCTGGATCTGAATTTTGTTGCTTGGGCCCATCTCTAATTCTTAGCAGAAGGACTTACCACAGGGCAGGAAAACTTTTCACTGTCACATACGTGTGTCTCACAGTGCAGCCAGACTTTGGACAGTTTGGGGATGTTTTGGAACCGGAAAGCATTGAACTGGAAGGTGGCCCGGCTGTTTTTCCCATTTTCATGCACTAAGATAGAGTTGTCCGTCGCGCACCTAGATTGCACGTTGAAAAGCATCATGAGAACAGAAACAGCTGCAAGGCCTATCGACCCTAGATTTCTCATGCGCTGCTTTCTTTAGCCTTCTCCAAATAGCAGTATCAGGATACTCCCTTTGACTGAGACCGGAGTGAGACAGGCATTCATAATGCTCTGCTTGAACCCATCTTGATAGCCATTCTGCTCTTAGCTGCGCCATTCTGACATGTAGGGGAATACCTGGGTTGCTTGGGTGTCAGTGAAAGCAGAATGTGATACAGCTTCTTCATGCAACCTTCTTACTTTTGGCATCCTTGGATGATTTTACAAACATTGGAGGGACAACACAGTCCTCTAATAGGTAATAGCTTGTTACCTAATCTGTCCTGGACTATGTGCCTCAGTACCATAACTCCTAGGCTGCTACTCAAAGCGCACGACCAATCCCTCTTGTGCACACTTTGTATGACTGTAGTCCCCAATATCATACTTTGCCAACCAGAACAAACATGACCTAAAAACACCCAACCCAACTTAATATTCACGTAACCCATCCAAGTAACACATCGTTTGGCCTCACTCATACAACTACCTACCCTTTTGTGATCAGTGGCCACTGGATTTGGTAGAAATACTCGGATGAAGGTGTTGCCCAGCAGTTGTTCAGAACTACTTTAAACCTGAGAGGAAACCAACCAATACGCCGACATCAGCAACAAACTATCTGTCAGCGACAGTTCCCGGTTGTAAATCAATACGTTTCATACCTGTTACTTAACCCCTTGGCTTCCACTCCAGCAAATACATCTGAACCAATTTCTGAGGTTTCAACGACAAAGGGAGCTTCTTTTTTACTTGAAAACTTGGCATTCTTTGAGAGAAAGAGGCAGCGTGCATTAGTAACACCTCCAAAGCAAAGATGTGATTATGTAATAAAGCCAAGCACAGAAAAATGGAGTTCAGAGCTCTGGATTCCCTTGCTCAGGGGCAGAGGTGAAAACAAGCCGGTACGCCCCAGTACGGTGTACCGGCAAGAACCGGTTTGCCGTACCGGGGCAGCCCGGCTTCCCCAGGGGGCAATTTAAAGGGCCTGGGGCTCCCAGCAAGGGCTGGAGCCCCAGGCCCTTTAAATTGCCACCAGAGCCCTGCTGCTGGAGCCCTGGGGGCTATTTAAAAAATCCGGGGCTCCCGCTGCTTCTACTGCCCCGGTCCTTTAAATAGCTGCGGGAGCCCTGCTACTTCTCCAGGGCTCCCACAGCTATTTAAAGGGCCGGGGCAGTAGAAGCAGGGGAGCTGCGGGCCCTTTAAATAGCCCCCAGAGCCCTGGGCTGCTGCTGCTACCCAGGGGGCGGCACTTACCTTACACGCTAGGCTGGGGCTGGCTCTGACTCCCTCAGCCACGCCCCTTCTGCCCTAAGCCCTGCCCCTTCCCGGGGCCAGAGCTGGCCCCAGCGTAGCAGTAAGTCACTGGACTTTCACCCCTGCTCGGGGGTGCTCTGATATGGGATCAGACACGATTAGCTTTACATATCACTATATCTCTCCATCTTTGCTAACAGCATTTCCCCCATAATGTCAGATCACAACAGTCACTAACATGATTAAGGCTTAAATTGCCAAGTCGAGTTGCAGGGGGTGCTCAGGAAACCATCTTCCTTTTGTCAGGAAAGGGGCTAGCCAGCTACCTTATTTTTATGTCAAGCAAGAAAGAAGAGGCTTCTGCAAAAGACGGTCTCAGTGTGTTTTACTGAACTGACAAGGTTTGCATGCTGGCCTCCTTGGGACCCTGAGCCTAACAGGTTCTCCTTGCACTGTAGCAAAACAAAGCTAGTAAGAGACTGAAACTGTGTAAACAAAAGTGTGGTGTCCAGTTCAAAGCGCCATCTGTCTGGTTAGATAGATAGATACACAGCCCCAAAGCTCCACAGAGCCATCTTTCATCTGTTTCTTCCCTCGCTTTGTTTCCTAACTTTCTCATTCTCTAGCACTTTTTTCTCACATTCCTCTGGACAAAAAAAGCCTAGAGACATTACAGCTGTCTCTTGTAGCTATAGCTTTGAAATATCCAATAGGCTGCCTGTATTGAACTTAACCCTAAAGACTGTACCTAGGCTAACAACCATGGGATGGTCCGTGACATTAAGAACGCTACACTGGTTTATAATTGCTTAGCCTTGTTGCAGAAGGAAGAATGGATGACGGGGAATGCAGAAACTGGATGTGTCAATCCTCACAGGCTCTACGACACTCACTACCCACAAAGATGGCCAAGAGAAGGTGGTGAGGGACGAGGGATAAGAACACCGTACTTATGGCTGGGATGGAATTAATCCTGCCTGCCTGACTCGGTGGCTGAGGAAACGCATCATGGTACAAAGTTCCTGCTGCCACCTAGTCCCTTGAAAGTGCTGGTAGGAGGTGGAGGCAGAAGTACCCGTTTAAAGGACGGGGGAACTCCTACTCCAGTGTGAGCTGCCCAGGAGCGGCCGGAAGAATTCTGAGTCAGGCAAAATCCCTCCTGCAGTGAACCGCTGAAGTGCGCACCCCTGCCCCTTGTGTCAAGTACACTCACTCCATCACATCTGCTGCATTGGCCTCGTCCCAGTAGCAACTTATTGACATGTTGTTTTTTGTAAAACAGCAGGTGGTTTCTATTTGGAGGGCCCTGACACATTCCTCAGGGTTTAAGACTTGGAAGGGAAAATGTAGGGCTCCATGCTGCCCTCTGCTGGGAGAAAGCAGAATTTTCTACAGCCTTTTTTACAACACAAGGTAATGTTAACCATCCTGAAGACACTGGGGAAGGTATTTGTTATCTTTGGCCTGAGGTGATTAACATATTTGAAGGCCCGAGACAGCCACAAGCCTAACTCAACATGTTTTAAGATGCCAGCATAGATACTATGACATGCTCTGCCAAGAAACAGAAGGAACCTCTAAGTAAGGCTGAAGCTACAAATGGGTTTGAGCATCATTAATCCTAACCCTGCAATGAGCTGCACTCGTGAAGCTGGTTTTCCTGACCTGTACCACCTGACATTGATTTTTCTATTAGTTTCTTCCCCCAGTTTGTTTATTTCACTATGACTTTCATAGGTGCCCATACCAAATTGTGCAGGTGCAAATGCTTGTGTGGGCATGTTGTTACTGAGTCTGTGTGCACAAAGGGCCATCAAAGTAGTTGCATGCAAATGGTTCTGAAACTCAAGCCCCTTATGCTTTTAGTTTCATTCTGAGCCATTTGGCATCACCATGAGAGCGATTAGCAGAGGTGGGAGGATCCATTTAGTGCTAAAGCAATATTCTGTCCCAAACTGGAGCTGTTTGAATAGTACAAAGAATGGAGCTGATTGCAAAACAATTTCCATCCTGCAGGACATTTTGATATTTTGACCTTTTCTTTTCATCTTGAATTGGGATGAGAATGAAGTATCAAAGCTTTTCACTGAATGAAAAGTTCCAAAAAAAAAGTTTTTGGGGGGGGGGGGGGAATATTCTGTTTCAATCCAAACATAATGTTTCATTTCCTTTCTGCTCAATGTTAATCTATGAACTGCTGCAGTGCCCCCCTGGGGATTGTAGCTCTGGGTCCCTTATTCCATTATTCTTCCCTATAGGCCCTCATGCACCATACAGAGTATGTCCCCTCAAACTACAATCTGGTCTAACCCTGCTCTATGATGCACTCTAATAGCTGTAAGAACCTGCCATGCTAGAACCTGGGGGTTCTGGGTCACTGATGCTATCGCATCACCACAGGAAGCTTAGGAGGACCCTGTGATGCTGGTAGAGTGACCAGATGCCCTGATTTTATAGGGACAGTCCCAATTTTTGGGTCTTTTTCTTATATAGGCTCCTATTACCCCTCACCCCCTGTCCCAATTTTTCACATTTGCTGTCTGGTCACCCTAGATGCTGGGCTCAGTAGGAGGTAACGCCCAGCAGGATTTGAGTGGCAGCTCCTCGCAGCCCACTGACTATCTGGACTGGCACCAGTACTTAAGCCAGGAAGCCATTACAGGGAGCTGTCTAAGAAACAACATAGACTGCCTGCCTGCCTCTGCTTCAGACCCTGTGTGTAAGAGACCTGAGACTCCGGCTTCTGACTCTGCCTGTCTCCTGACACCTGTCTCTTGCTTTGCCTTCTGGCCTGTCTTGGACTCTGGCTTTCTGGGACCCGACCAGGCCTGATTCCCGCTCTGACCACTAAGTCTGACCACTCTGGTTGTGACAGTAGCTCAGCAATGAGGAGAAAAGAAACTGCACTGTCTCATGAGAGAGTGAGTCTGGCTTGGAAGCTGGGCCCACTTGGGCAAATGGGGGCATGAGTGACTCGGAACTACAACTCCCACGAGGTACCATGGCAGCTATTTTGGGGCTGATGGAAAATTCCACCAAAACTGAGCTTTTTCCCATTTTCTAAAGAGGCAATGTTTTGTTCAGAATATTTTGAGCAGCCCAAACAAAGTAGTGATTCACTTATATTTTGCCAATACATGTCATGAGTTAGCCTTACCCTTATTCATAGTGGTCATTATTTGTGATCGGTGAGTACTCAAGGAGGACTATTGGCTGTTGTGACTCCTCCTTGGAGCCTCAAGAATTTTAGTTCAAATAATTAACTTGGCTAAAGAACAGACTGGAAATATCTTGTTCATTCTCCATCATTTGTTATTCTCCCATCATTCAGCAAGGAACTAGCATCACTGTGGTTCTGTGGTACTTAACAGATCAGTCACACACCACAAATAACAAACATAAGCAGGGACCAATGCCTTTGGTTGTTGGTTCCCTAAAACCAGAGGGGATGGGGAAGATTCCACTGGTACCCTAACTCCAGTATGTATAGGGGAAGATTCCATCTGTCCAAGCCCTGCAGACGATCCATATGCAAAGCCTCCCCATAGCCTGGCCTCAGGAACTGGCTCCATATCATTACTAGTCATTAGTGTTGCGTTTTATTCATGTAAAATCTAGGCTACTGGGCTACCCTCCACTTACCCTGTGATTTGATGGAAATAGATTCAGGGATTGGTTGCTGCTCTGCCAATACAGACAGCCTCCCCTCCCCCGCCCCGGACCCCTGAAAAGGTGGTAGAACTTTAAAAGAAAATCTTGCTGGCGTGGGGCAAACATTGGAAATCAAATCCAGTGTGAACTAAAGATCTCCGGGGAACACTAAACAGCCAGCTCATCAGAGAACAGCTAAGCAAATTTCAGGAGGAATGAAAGGGGCTTCTATATTTAGTGAGACTGGAGGATCGCAGCCGTGTCTGTGGATTCACACTGTTCTTTGTTTAGGCTAGAAGCAAAGTTTGGCTGTTTCTTCTGACACCAATCCAATCTGTAACCATGCAAGAGAGAAACACGCCTCTCATCAGCGAAATCTGGGCCACAAAGGGACATTATGTGTTTTAAAAATGGTATAGGAGCTACCATCTAGATTGATCCTTCTTAATGTATTAGAAATAAGGACTCCCTATAATTCCCATGTTAATTATCTGCTACATAGTGACCGTGTGCTCAGTACCGTACAAAACAGAGGATAAGCTCCTTTTCCCATGGCTGTTATGGCTGGATTCCCTTCTCACGGACGCTGGTGGAAATATGGAACGGCTCCCATGAAGTGAGTGGACTCACCCCAGTGTGCAGGCTCTGACAGACTAACTACCGGATGACAAGGAGCACTTACAGAGTAGAAGTTGAGGGATAATTCACTTTCAAATGAACCGGAGCTCCCATTCTTCACATGGACTGTCGCCACTCTAGAAAATTGAGAAAATGCCGTATGACTGAAACATATGCTATTGATAATGGAGCCAGCCCCGTGCTGAAAACGGGGGAGTCCGTTCCTCCTGGTGGAGTTACCTTTGGTCGAAGGCAGCCTGGTTGACCAAGTAGTTTGCATGGTACGTGCAGGTGAATGAGTAATTCACGGGCTGGCTCTTCACAATGACCGAGCTGTCATTGGAGATGATGGAGTTGTAGAAGTGATAGATAGGGTTTTTAAACTGTAGTCGGGGGGACAAAGAGAGACATGCCGGCAGTGAAAATTGGATGCAGACAGGGACCTCTGCCTGACGTTTGAAACAGGAAAAGGCAGTTCTCGTGTCATAAATGATCAGCAAACAGTCTATTCTGGTTCTTTATGCATTTGTGTTACAGTAGAGCCTTGAGGCCCCATTTGCCAAGAGCTGGGCACACAAGTAATGAAAACTGTAATGTTAGTACATGCACACATAGATGAATTGCATGTGGACCTAACCCCATATGCATTTTGGCTGCGCCAGGAATGCAGGACCATCTGGCTTCTCACATAAGTGTCAGTGATCCATGATATTGAAAAGCACTAGAGCCTTTGACAAATCGCCAGAGATTACATCCTTTCTGCCTCCGTTACAGCACATATAGCCTGACCCAAAGAACATTAATGGTCATGGGAATCTTTCCACTGATGTCAGTGGGCTTTGGAATGAGCCCAGGCTGTACAAAGTATCTGCCAACTCTTGGGAAGTGAATTTTTGCCCATGATGTACTTACCTCTGATTGAGTTCCACAGTAGGACTTGTTTTTGGGCGATAAATCTGGAATCGTGAATTGGTAGTATCCCGAATCATGAACGCCATTGTAGCAAATGCCTCCAAGAGCCAATTGATTAACCTCCCATCCATAGGGACATTCGGGAATTTTTGTAATGATGGTTTTAGGATAGCAATACACCAAAATGATGTCTAAAAGGAAAAAATACAGGTATTCTAAGGTGCATTTTCCTGCTGAGACTGATCTAGATCTGAACTTTGTGGGTAGTGTTTACATCTGGAGTTTACATTTGGACCTGCCTTTACCTCAAACTGGATTAAGGATCTGATCCAGGACCACTAATGTCAATGGAAGTTTATCTACTAACTTTAAAGGAAGCCTGTTTGAGGCCCATGGGAGTTTGGCATTTGAATCCCATTGGATTTATATCAATTGGGATTTGCCTGGCTAAACCCCTTTAGGTCTCTTTGAAAATCCAATCCACTAGCCTAAATCTATAGAGCAGGAGTAGGCAACCTATGGCACGCGTGCCAAAGGCGGCACGTGAGCTGATTTTCAGTGGCACTCACACTGCCTGGGTCCTGGCCACCAGTCTGGGGGGGCTCTGCATTTTAATTTAATTTTAAATGAAGCTTCTTAAACATTTTAAAAACCTTATTTACTTTACATACAACAATAGTTTAGTTATATATTATAGACTTATAGAAAGAGACCTTCTAAAAACATTAAAATGTATTACTGGCACGTGAAACCTTAAATTAGAGTGAATAAATGAAGACTCGGCACACCACTTCTGAAAGGTTGCTGACCCCGCTATAGAGCAAACCATAATAATCTAAATTCTTTGGGTGAAATTCTGTCCCATTGGAGTCTGGGGGAGTTTTGCCTTTGACTTCAGAGGGGCCAGAATTTCACCCTTTGTGTCAATTTTATTGAAATTAGAACAGCTAATCAAAGAACAAAGAAAAATGAAGTGAAATCGTACTACAATGAAATTTGTCAGATTAGAGTACATTAATGTTATGGGCCCAGATCCTTAGCTGGTGTCAATTAGCATATCACCATTGACTTCACTGAAAATAACCTGGGCAAGTGTGTTTGTTGTCTTCAGTAGACCTACACCTATCCATAGCAGCTTTAGATCCAGGCCATACTATTACTAAAAGTTCGTATATTAATACCCATCGCTGTAGATACAATGCCAATGTAAACATAATTGTCACAATTTTCAAGCCAAAATGCAGTGTGCAAAAGATGAAACAGACCAACCTTTTTAATAATGATCAGTACAGAGACATGAACATGAAGATGAAGTACAGATATTACACATCACAGCTATAGGGTTGCTTACTTGGTCTTGCGGGGATAGTGTGCCTTATTTACGTGGAATCAGGTTGCATGAATTTGAATATATAAAAAGTAAAAGCAGCCTAAACACTAGTGGGCTGAAAATTGAAACCAAAGAACACAGCTGCTTATGGGATACATAGGGCTTGATCCTGAATTCACTGCATATCCACAGGCTTTGCTTTGAGTTGTGGGTGCTCAAGGAAGACAGGATTGAGAATGTAGTTGTGGAGACATTAATAATTTCCACTTTTTTTTAAACCAATGAACTTTCAAAACTCCCAGCCTCATCCTCCCTGTAACTGCGCTCTGATCCTGCACCCACCCACACAAGTAACCTTGCACACATTAGTAGGCCTACTGAATTCAGTCAGGCTACTCACATGAGTAAAGCTCCTTACTCATGCGCATCTGTTAAAATTCATCCATAGCTCATGGAAATGATTCCTGCTGATCCATTTTGTTGACATACACGCAGTGGACATGCAGATAAAGTGATACTTCATATTCTAAGGACTCCTGGATAAATTTCTAATACATGTTCTCTAATTTTTGAAAGTTGCAAGCCAAGGTCCCAGTCCTGCACTTAATCAATTGGGCTCCCAGGCAGAATTCAGTGGAGGATCAGAAAGTTACTTCCCCCTCAGTACAGTACCCTGGTTATATATGTTAGGTTTCCAGCCCTACAAACTCTTAGGCACACCAGTAGTCCAACTGGAGTCAATGGAACTACTCACATGAGTAACGCCTGCTTATGTGGCAAGCTGCAGGATATAGCCCTTGATATGTTAGAATGCTTTATGTTCATTTCTATTTTCCGGGCTGTTTTAGGCCCTGATCCTGCAGAGATGCACACATGCTTAACTTTATACACTGTGACTGCTCCTTAGTTTGGTCTTAGTTTGTTTTCTGTGCTAGCTGAGACTAAAGTCAGAACAATAAAAACGGTGCCAGAATTAAAAACTTTAGAGCCTATAATTTAAATCCCGCAAGATAGATATTTCATTGCTACCTAACCAGAAATCCTTTGGCTTCTTTTACCTGTGAGAGAAGATCTTATTTAGAAAAATAAATTGAAGTTATTTTACCTGCTTTATTTGGATTGCAAGGGGCTGCGAAGGCTTGAACCAAGATGTTCAGCAGATAAAGAGCAACAATCACCATTTCTTCCAAGGGGCCGAGAATACACTGGTAACAAAAGCAGAGTTTGCCTTTTAGAATGCTGTTGGGTCTTAACACATTTTTTTGAAATGTTGATTTTTTTAAAAAAGAGAAAATGTCTGAAATTTTCCATTAATTGCAATCATAGAGTTGTAGATGTGGTTGAACATACTCCCTAGTCACTGCTGGAAAAATCATTTTGTGATATTGATACATCATCCAGCTTGATTGCAATTGCCGCTCAGAAATATTTACTGAGCACTTCTGCCTCTTTGGCGTCATTATTGAGAATTTTAGCATCTGAGTCTAGTAATGGATCTAGTACCACTGAGTCTAGTACCACTGCTAGGGTTTTGTTGTGGGTTTTTTTTTGTTCCTATAAAAGTCACAGAACAAAAGAGCTACAAACATGAATGAATCAAAATTAGACCATGAATATGAAGGAAAAAAGACAAGCAGGAAAAACAAAATCAAGCAAGAAAATAAGAAAAGAGAGAAGAGCTAATTGGAAAGAGGAAGAAGTGTAGAGGTGAGTAAAAATACATACTTTACTTATTAGCCAACCAGAGAAACTATTCCCATATTCAGTTTGGCTGGTTGTTATCCTGCAATATATATCTCACTCTCTCATGCAAAGCAGTTGAGTCAATGATGTGATTTCTCCTTTAATATTAGCCTCTGGGTTTGCAAAATAGCAATATGAATTAATAGTATTAAGAGTTCAGTCACAGACCTCAAACCTGCAAACTACTCTGCACCAATGCAGACGATTCCCAGCACAGAACAGCTTGCAGGATCAAATACTTGTATTTTTCCATACTAGACACTTTTTAGGTAATTCCTCTAGCTTACAGATCACTCAGCACACAGAAATAACAAGTAGCATTTAGCCAATAATGTGTCCAGATAGAGAAACGATTTTTTTCCTTGGAATTAGTATTTTCAACACAAAAACATTTTCAATCAATCAGCCTGTTTTTCTAATAATATATAAAATGTTTATACTGGATATCCAAGTGACAATTCCTTTAACAAAATCACATGCACCTATGAGAAGTTTAAGGAATATAATACCTACAAGACAAGAACAGGCAAAGGATTCAGGTGTTCATTCTCCCTGTTTGATTCTGTTAGCTGTGTATCTGCTCTTCCCAAGATGTCTTTCTTTCAAATGAATCCAGCTGGCGTTATCGTCACTTTATATAGGCCATCTTGTGAAAGGGACCCATCTTTGGTTAAAGCTCAATCAACCAGTAGTATCCAATAGGGTAGGATGGTCAAAAAGAATTTTACAAAGTAACTGAATGGAAAGTTCAGTTTCCCTGCTCTAGATTAGACATTATTAACGCTATCTGAATGAGGTTTAAACATATTTATTATGGTCTTCAAACAGAAGTCTGCTAACAGTATGAAAGTTGCACCAAATTTGTTTTACATCTTAGCTTGGAAGATTGTGGATTTTTATTTATTGGCAGAAAGCCAGTTGCCTGCTGGCTGAAATCTGCTTGCTTAAAAGACACTGAATGCCCATTGGGTGAGAATTTCAAACAAGCTCAAGGGAACTATGTGTCAGGAAGCAGGGCCTGCAGCAGACCCACTCTCCAGGCAATCTAAGAAGTGCAGTTAGCCTTTAGCAGGCTGCCTGATTCGCTCCATCACCGGACTGGTTGGACGGAGCAGCAGACTGACTCTTCAGACCAGCTGCAGCAGCAGTTCACTGGCTGCTCAAAGCATTTGCCCACAGTTATGATAGGACCTGTGCCTGCTTGGTCCAGCCCTGCTCTTGCCTTAACTCACTCCAAGTTACCTGGTCTAACCCTTGGCTCTGATTCCTGACCTCTAACTTTGGGTCTAACCCTTGGCTCTGGCATCTGGCTGCTAAATTCAGTTTGGGCTTTGCCTCTGTCCGTGATCCTTGGCTTGGGCACCTCTCTGCTCTGACCACTAGGCCTGATGGCCCACATCCTGGTCACGGATGCTACATGCCCAACTCTTATCGAATATCTATGGGAGTTAGGGCCTAGCTCGCTTGGGTGTTTTTGAAAATCCCATCCTCTAATGTCACTCAGACACAGGAGAGAGTATTTAATAAATTATCTGCCAGCGTTGGGGCTCTTTCATATGTCAGGTTTCAGAATAGCAGCCGTGTTAGTCTGTATCCGCAAAAAGAACAGGAGTACTTGTGGCACCTTAGAGACTAACAAATTTATTAGAGCATATGCTTTCGTGGACTACAGCCCAGTGTAGCCAAGGACTACAGTGGGGCTGTAGTCCACGAAAGCATATGCTCTAATAAATTTGTTAGTCTCTAAGGTGCCACAAGTACTCCTGTTCTTTTTTCATATGTCAGTAGATTTTATTATCCTTTAACAGAGGCTAGCATGAATCCAAGCTGGAATATATTCTCTTAGGTGGGACTTGCCTTTTGCATCTAATCCCAGAAAAGTGTCCATAATGGGTAAAAGCCACCCTTGTGCAGAGAGCCAGATCAAAAGGCCTATATACACCATGCATTGTGGCCAGCTGTGGCTGCAAATGTATGTGGGTAGCGGCACATGTAACCTGTGGCTTCCCCACGACACGGTGTTTTGAGACAGTAGATCATATAGAGACCCAGTGATCATGACTGTAGCTCATCCACATTCTGTCCTTTACCAGGCTGTATACTAGGAGGTGGTGAGCCTGCCCTCTAGCCCTGCTACCAGTGTTCCCTCTAATTTCTTACGTCCATCTGCGGAAAGAATTTTGTTACGTGCACCGATATGGAGGTGATGTGTGGTAGGGATGGGGCCGAGGGGTTCGGAGTGTGGGAGGGGGCTCAGGGCTGGGGCAGTGGGTTGGGATGCGGCGGGATGAGGGCTCCAGCTAGGGGCGAAGGCTCTGGGGTGGGGTCAGGGATGAAGGGTTCGGGGTGCAGGAGGGTGCTCAGGGCTGGGGCACGGGTTGGGGTGCAGGAGGGGGTACGGGCTTTGGGGTGGGGTGGGGATGAGGGGTTTGGGGTGCAGGCTGCTCCGGGGCTGCGGCAGGGAGAGAGGACTCCTTCCAGCTTTCTCTCGCTGCAGCAGCTCAGGGCAAGGTGAGAGGCGCCTCTCCCCAAACACAGCAGCTCCGACGGGGCGGGGCTGGGCAGGGCTGGGCTGCGACAGTTTCGGTGAAGAGGCGCCTCTCCTGGGCTGTGGCAGTTCCGGTGGGGCTGGGCTGGGGCAAGGGGAGGGGCTCCTCTCCCTGCCTGTGCGACTCTTGATAGCCTGCGTCCGCGCAGCTTACAGGGAACTTAGCCTGCTACACAGCAGGAAGTTGGCATTTTCACTGTGTTGGGGACTTCAGAGGGTGCAGATGTCCAGTGAGGATTTTCCTAAAGCTGGTTGAAATTTTTCAAAAGAAAAATAGCTAAATTAAAAAAAATAGCCTTTCATTCAAAATGAAAATTATGCAAAAAATCCCCCCATCCCTTTTATTTGTTTGCAAAACTCTTGCTGACTTTTTTTAATTACAAATGTTTGTCAGAGATTTGTATCAGAAACCGCGAAACTGCTATCAAAACATTGATTGAAATATTTAAGCTGTCTGAAAACCTTATTTTCAGAAAGCTACATGCGTTGATAATGGTATCAATAAAAACATCAATTAACAATTTTGCAAAAATGGAAAAAAATTGCTCTATTTTGAATTCTGCAAAATGTAAACAACTTCCACATTTTGAATTTTTTCATAAAACTTCCCCCCAAGAAAACAGCCTAGATTTTTCCCAATAAGATGTATACAACTAAAGTGATTCCTTACATGGTGAATTAGTATTAGGGAAGTTTTTAATGTGTATTAGCATTTCTAATGCGATGTGCAACTCCCTCTTCTCTTTTTGATAAATACTTTTTACTCCTGCCATTTTTTTCTCCTTCTTATTCCTAAGGAGATGAGTTAGTCACAAATATCACAAACAGTTTGTCCTTGGGGTGTACTGGAGGGGAACTGGGTCTAAAAATAAGCAATAAGTTATGTGGAATTCTAGTATGCAGCGTTGTAGCTGTGTTGGTTCCAGGATATTAGAGGAACAAGTTGGATGAGGTAATATCTTTTATTGGCTCAACTTCTGTTGGTGAGAGAGACAAGTTTGAGTCCTAATTTTCAGTTCTGTGTAACCTCGAAACATTGTCTCTCTCACCAACAGAAATTGGTCCAATAAAAGATACTACCTCACCCACCTTGTCTCTTTAATGTGGAATTATAGTAATATAAACACTATTTTCTTAATAGTAAAAATGTTGGGGCCATCTTAGGCTATGAATTTTTAAGCAGAACTCCCCAATGATTTCATTACAATGTGAGGGTACAATATAGCCCATGATATTTAAAGTAAAAATAGGAATACTGGACCTAACGATTCCCTATTCCATATTTCAAACAATAAGCCACAAGCCTGACTCCGCAACCTTTAGTCACATAAAAATTGCAAGACTAGACCAGAGTATATTAAATAGGCTGTTCCTTTTGCTCTCATGGGCCCAATTCCGTAAATCGTTATCGATTGATTTAAATGAAATTACTTACACATGTATTGACGTGCAAGATCAGGCCACTCGACCCTAGTCCACTGTCATTGCAACTGAGTTAAAGAATAGTCCATTATACAAGAACTCGAGAGCATGAGTCAGCTGGTTTAATCCAATTACAGATGAGCCTGGGCCCAGACCAGAAATCCTGGAATTAGTGATATTGAAAATCCAGATCTATATGTCACTTTATAAAGCCCAAATCCAAACGTCTACTCATGTCTTGATCAAAATTAAATGGAACGTTTGGGGTGGGTGTGTGTTTTAACAAAACAAAACAAAAAAGAGAGATTGAGATAGAGAGTGGTTAGCTTATTGTTGTCATTGCTTTTGTGATTCTCTACTTCCTAGTTTTGCCTGGAACTGGAAACATAACTGTCAAAACGTCATGAGACAGGGTACGTGCAGCCCAAACACAAGAGGAAGGAACTCATGAGAAAGCCTGTCCTTGCAAGTTTGCCCCTCCCACTTCAGACTCAAGGAACCAAATTCAGCCCTGTGGTAGACAAAGTGCAACTCCATTGACTTCAGTGGAGTTGGATTTGGGCTGATTTTGGCTCAAGGGGTTTAACTGAGATTTGATCAAGAGCTACGTAGGTATGGGCATAATACAAACACCCTGACTGACAAAGACAGAAGCACCTATATTTTTGGTTGATCGTCCTATAGCATTAGTAGAAACACTTAAAATACATGAAGATTACCTACATAATAGTGCTTTTTCTTTGAAGCAGGGTGATGAAAAATATTCACCCCTCAGGTAGCCCAACTGACTTCAATAGAATTACACCCAGATGGATTTATCTCAATAATTTTAGGAAGAAAATAAATCTCCCACAATCTCCTCATGCGGGAGGGGGAAGCCTCCAGCTATCTGATACTCCTTTTAGGTGAAAAGTACAAAACAGAATGAAGTCCATGAAACAAATTCGACTACAGCGCAGACTGGTCTATAGATGTTTGTATTTGCATAAGAAACAAGGACTGCACAAAATGTACTTGGGCCAACCGGTATTTGATACCTGGGCTGATAAAAGGTTAAGACCTGCGGGAGGTTTGTATTTCTCGGAGTAATTTAAAAAAATAAAATGAAAGCTCATTAAATAGCAAAGTACACCACTGAGACTCCTTGCCCAGCCCCTCCCCTTAATTTAAGCATCATTTTAACAGTGTACGTATCAGTAAAAATCTCAACAAAGAGTAAATGGAAAGCTTTGTTGTGAACCTAACCTAAAACGGCAGCTTGTCTCTTTTGCTTTGGTCCCCTCCTTTGACTGAGAGCTGCGCAAACATTTACTGTCTGGGTGTTATATGAGGGAACTTAGTCTATGATGGGATGAATATTATGACATCTGATTTTTATTATACGGGATAAGAGAATAAAGCTGATGGATGTTCATATCTATAAGCAATGATCTTGTGGGGCCTAATCTAATTCTAACTGGGGTCAATGGAAAGGGTCTAGCTGATTTCAGTGGGAATTAGATCTGGCCTATAACCCTGAACTCTAGATTCCACTTCTTATTGATGTTGTTTTGAGCACTGTGTTTCAAAGCACATTATAGAAAAATTGGGCCAAATACTGAAGTACTTATTCACTTCCATGGAGTTTTGCCTAAGAGATAGATGACTGATTAAAAACTGAGGCCCAGCTTCTCAAAGGTATCTAAGCTCCTAACTTCCATTGATTTCAACAGGAGGTAGGAGCCAATACCTTGCAGGTTCTGGGCCTGGCAGCCTGATCATGCCATCCTTATTCACCCTAGTAGTCCTTATTTAGGAGAGTAGTTAGTCTGGATGGATGTTGTGAGGCTTATTTTCATACTTGTATGTTGCTTTGAGATCTTGAATGAAAGGAGATCTACATAAGTACAAAGTATATTAACCTCTAAAAGCATTTATCCATTAAAAAGCAACAAAGAGTCCTGTGACACCTTATAGACTAACAGACATATTGGA